AAAACTCGCTTTAAATATATAAAATATAAAAACTCTTTAAATATAAAAAATGTACTTACAGTCCGTGAGTCAGAACAGCCGGCATTGTAGTCTACTCTACCAGGATCAGGAAACACAGTGTCACACACAGTGGCCTAGAGTGAGCAGAGGCCGGGGGCTAGAGTGAGGAACGGCCGGAGGGCTAGAGTGAGCAGAGTCGGCGGGCTTGAGAATGGCGCAGCCGGCGGATTCGACGAAGGAGCGTCTGGAGGGCTTGCGGTAACCACATGTGACAACCCCGGTCCGGCGATCGACAGCGCAAAGTTGTAGTATTTCCTCAGCAACCAGCACGGATCAGCTCCAGGTATGATGAAGCAGATATCGTCCTCTTTTGGAAGGCCAAACAAAGTAGTTTCACTTTCACAATGAAACACACAGCGCCTTCACGACATGGCGGCGGCAACAACAATACTACAGCGAGAATCAAAGTTGCGCCTTCTTTCTTTGCATGAACATTTGGGCGGCGTTATGCAAATCTTCCCACATAGGGACGTAGATATGTGGGGGCGTGTTAGAACGAGCCATTTTAGGTAGGCGTGGCTGACTCTTAACTTTTATAAAGAATATCTCTTTGGATTTGAGACTTTAGTCTTTGCAAGTTTACAGATCTTCTTTATGCACCAAGAGCTTGTAACACTCCAAAGAGAAACGAAAAATTTAAATAGCATCATATGACCCCTTTAAAGGGGTCATATGATGCTGCTAAAAAGAACATTATTTTGTGTATTTGGTGTAATGAAATGTGTTTATGCGGTTTAAAGTTCAAAAAACACATTATTTTCCACATACTGTACATTATTGTTGCTCCTCTATGCCCCGCCTTTTTGAAACACGTTGATTTTTACAAAGCTCATTGGTCTGAAAAAGCGAGGTGTGCTCTGATTGGCCAGCTTTAATGTGCATTGTGATTGGCCGAATACCTCAAGCATGAGATGGAAATGTTACACCCCTCACATTCTGTTGATGCCGTGTCCGGCCGGAACGACGAGACATAAACATTAATACCCATTACAAACGAGGCATTTGTTGCATCCAGTGGGGACATAAATACTGATTATAATGACTTATACTGTCTTTTTACTGACAAACAACAACTGCTACTCTACTGCCCAAAACTCGCGTTTGAATCATCAGTGGCAACGAAAAACACAGCGGATTTTCGAAAGATTAATTCCGTTACTGTGCCTGACGCTTTTCCGCTACCGCGCATTGACGATTGTATTGACAGTCTTGGGGTCGCCAAGTATATTACGAAATTGGATCTCTTAAAAGGTTATTGGCAAGTGCCTCTAACCGAGCGCGCTTCTGAGATCTCCGCATTTGTTTCCCCGGATTCGTTCCTCCAATATACGCGAATGGCGTTCGGTCTGCGGAACGCACCGGCGACATTCCAGCGTTTGATGTCCTTGGTTCTGGGTGACGTTTCTAATTGCAATGTCTATTTGGATGATGTAGTCATCTATGCATCTACCTGGTCTGAACACTTGTCGATTTTATATGATGTGTTTCGTCGTTTATCTGCTGCGTCCCTCACGTTAAATCTCAAAAAGTGTGAATTTGCTAAAGCTTCGGTCACCTACTTGGGAAAACAAGTGGGAAATGGTCAGGTAAGGCCATTGGATTGGAAAATAGCTGCTGTCCTTGAGTATCCGATATCTACTACGAGGCGAGAGCTGCGTAGATTTCTTGGGATGGTGGGATACTACTGATGTTTCTGCAAGAACTTTTCGAGTGTTGTTGCTCCATTGACCAGATTGTGTAGTCCGAGAGTTGATTTTAGTTGGACTAATGACTGCCAACAGGCATTTTTGTCTGCAAAATCCCTTCTTTGCAGTGCTCCTGTTCTCTCTGCCCCGGAGGTGTCTCGTGCGTTCCAACTGAAGGTGGATGCGAGTGCTGTTGAAGCGGGAGCTGTCCTTCTACAGGAGGGTGCTGATGGAGTAGCTCACCCTGTTTCATACTTCTCTGTTAAGTTTAACCGTCACCAGTTAAATTATTCAACCATTGAGAAGGAAACTTTAGCACTTTTACTGGTGTAACAGGGTTAAAAATTTGTCGCTTGATGTATTTCTCTCTTTGTTGTGTTACAGGTATGTTTATTTGTTTGAATCTTGACTGTTAAAACTGTTCTATTAAGACAGATGCGCGCTGTGTTGCGTTCTGGTGTTTGTTAACAGCAGAGAAGTTTATCTGATGCTGAGAGGTGATGAATGTACATGTGTATAAATGCCCACTGTCGCCAGAGGATGTATTTCTCTCCTTGTTGTGTTACAGTAAACCACGCATGAAACGCAGTTCTCTGTGTCCACCTGTGATTTATGTGCTGTTGGATGAGAAGCATTACACTGGTGCCGTGACTCGTCGCATCGCGAAGATCCACATGACGCAGATCGCCGTGTGGTTGCTGAATTTCGTCATACTTTCACCACAGAATCAAGAAGACTGGACAAATAGTAGACTGGTTGGTCGTTCCTTTTACATTCTGAACAGTATTTATTGAGTCAAGTGAAACATTTCATGAACTTTGGACTCAGTTTGGACTTTGGATTCAATTCGTCATACTTTTGTGATTGAATTATATCTTCGTAGGCAAGTTCATCTCTAATTTTGTAAGGATTTTTTTTTTTTTAATTATCTTTTACCGCCCCCCCCCCCCCAATTTCCTTCCGATTATGATGCTACTACCCCATTTGTCCCTAGAGGGAGGGGTGTTTTACTTTCTGGGTTGAATAATGGTGGCATGACACGCAACGAGTCATTTTGTGGAGGGATTGGCCATCTCCAGTCTACGAGTGATAGTGAAAGGGGTATAGGGCGTGGACATACCACAACAAATCTGACAATGAGACAATTTTTGGGGGATGGGCCTTTTGTTTCTACTCCAAGAGATGATAATACAGATCATGCATTGCAACAATTGACAGATATGATGGGTAGACTTGGAACCCAAATAGGTGATTCGATCATGGCAAGACTTACTGAGACTGGAGTTGTAAATGCTAATTGTAACTCACAAAATAGCAAACATGTGGGCTCTGATAGCGTCAGACAAGATACGCGTCAAGTCATAGTTCATGTTAAAGCAGACAGAGAACCAGTGATATTTAAAGGTGACAG